GTGCCTTGAGCTCTGTGTTGGAGTAGTGATGGATTGTATATTTTTTTGTTAGACTGTTTTGTATTGCTTTGCTTGTGTAAATTTTTCATGTTCTTCTGGCTGCAATATGAGACAGATCTTAATTAAAAAAAATATGAGTTTGATGAAACGAATAGGGTTACCTGCTGCACGAATGGGTCTGGATTCATATCTCGAAAAGGGTCGGCCTCTGAAAGCTGTCAGCCATCAAGGTCCCAATTTTAAGAGCATGCTTTGCATTTGGGTTTAAATATCAGTACAGTTTAAGGAACATGAATAAGTAAGTTGGACTTAGCATGGTTTGCTGGTGTGAAGTTATATTATCTGAAAAATTGAACTTGGTTTTGGAGCTACTTGGTATTTGCTTCGAATTCTGCAGGTTACAAGTTACGACTTCTAGTGAGATGCTTTGGTTGATGAATGATGATTCCCACTTGCATTTCGGGTTTCTGATTAACTTATCGGTGCATATTAATATCTTGAAATTATAAAATCATTACGTGTGAAAAGTGAAGAATAACGAAGATATCTCATGCCAGAAACGTGTTCCTCAAACTTGCATTAGTCCCTCAAAATATACCTTTGAGAAATTTCTGTATGTGGTTAGAGTAAAGGATATTTTGTTTGTTGGTTTGGAGAGTTGTCGGGTTATGATTTTTGAGTTAACTCTATTCATTCTATGGAGCCTCTAAAAAAAAAAATTCCTCTGCAAATTCTTTCTTTCTTCCTTTTCCTGAATGTGCAAAGTGCTGTGTCATTCTTTGAATACAATTTTACCTTGGTTGTGTTCACGTAGACGAGTACATATAAAATTTTATCTCTTTCTACCGATCATATTATTCGTCGTTATTTTCTGCAGGATGCTTAAAATCATCCAAGTGGAAAATTTTCATCATCTAGCTGGCACTCAAGTTACCAGCCTGCTCGAGTCCAAATTCACGATGAAATTACAGATCAACAACACAATTTCACCGCGATTTTCAGATAACCAGGGCTCTTGCATTGCTGTAAGATGTCCGAATAGTAACACAAAGAAGTGTATATCGTTTTGGGGGGAATATAGATTCAATAATCTGGTTTTTGTAAGTGTATTTCAGATAACCAGGGCTCTTTGTCTTTGCAGTTTTTATGTTTTTGGGTGCCTTACCACATGAAAATTTTACAAGGGGTTGCTTGTATTATGTTCATATCATCATATGTTTGTATATGTGTACTGGAAACTCGACAAGATGATTTTTTTTTTCAAGTGTGTTGTTACCTAAGTTATGTGCGCGACCGATTCATGATATCGAGTATTATTTAGTTTAGAATTGTTAGTTTATTTGAAAATTTGAATAAAATTTTATAAATATTCCTTCATGCAAGTAAGATCCTTCAACCAAATTAAGAAACTGATGATATTCATGCAAGTTACATGCATCAATGTTTGCACATGATGTGAGGAGGTTGATAATCTTAAATCAAACAAAGAAGAGTAGCTACATTATTCAAAACAATTTGGCAGGCACAAGCGTTCTGCTGGTCGCAGGTACGTCTGGCCAGTAAGTCTGGTTCGGAAAGAAGGATTCTTCTGTGGAATAGAAGCCAAGGCAGGCAGCCATTCTAACAAGTATCCCACCATTTGCACAATGAATAAGGAAAAACAAAAAAATTCATAGTTCAGCTAACCTAAAATATAAGAAAACAAACAGCAACAAAGAAAACAAAAGGAAAAATATCAAGTTTAGACCACAAGAAACTATCTATCAAAAAGAGGAGCACAGTACACAACATAACCATGAACTCAATTAAAAAAAAAAAAAA